AGGGTGAGAATGGTTGCACAATTTGAAGAATGTAATCAATGTCACTGAATTGTACATGTAGAAATTGTTACATTGGTATATGTTTTGCTGTGTATATTTTCAACAACAAAAATAAAATATTAAAAATATTGAGCCTCCAGTATCTTACTATATATATATATATATATATTTTCCTTCTGTTGACAGTATGTCTTTTGCTATGCAATTAGAGTTGATATCTTTGAAAAAGCTGTAATACAGGAAGTGTATTTGTGAAAGCTAGTAATGTAACCGTCCTTATAAGCAACCATGATTATGCATATTTACTAAGTATTTTCCTAAGGAGGAATTAAAAAATTTTGCCAGCAACTTGCTTACCATTTTCATTGGTTTGGGTGTTGGGGTATATAATACATGTGCACAGCCATCATACAGACAGGCTGTGACAGTGCTAAAAGAGAGGCAGAGGTGATGTGTCAAAAGCATGGGGCATTTGGGGACATCTGTAAGAGAATGTGGAGTCTATACTGGACAGCGAAGAACATACAAGACTGGACAGGTTATTCCAGATGAAGGAAACAACAGATGAAACCAACAAGAGGCGGAAAAACCAGGGAATATTGCAGTGGCCTATATGGATAGAGCGTAGATTTGAGGGAAAGTTGTCGGGAATGAGTCGTAGAGAGGAAGGCACAGGATAATGGAGCTCACATTTATTGATGCCTAAAATGAGTCAGGCACTGTGCTAGGGCTTTACAAACATTATCTCGTTTAATCTTCCACCACATCCCTATGAGGTTTAGAGGATCATATTCCCATTTTTTATAGTAAGAAGAACTGAGGCTCAGCTTTACTAACCTGCCTGAGGGCTCACTACTAATGGTTGAAGAGTCAACATTTGAAACCAAGTCTCTCTTAACTTGAAAGCTGACCGATTAGGCCTAATATCCTTCTACTCTTCTATTCCATCTTGCTTCAGATATTAGCGTTTCACTTTTATTCTCCAGGCATTGTCGAAGGGTTCTGAGCAGGAATGGACATTACCAGAACTTCCTATAAGGAGAATGAGATGGTAGCATTGTAGAGACTGGATAGAATGCCGACGCAACCATGACCACTGTTCTAGTTGGCCGACAGTCTCCTGTTCTAACATTTCACATCCAGACGTTGGAGACACTAGATGACTTTATTATCTGAACTCTATTTGACATCTTTTCCAGTGAAATAACAATCAGATTTTATACGCAGTTTTGTTTCTCCCTAGATTCCTTCTCCTTTTCTACTCTCCATTAATAGCTAGGTTCCAGGTATAGTCACTTTGACTTAAACCTTTTTGGTTCATACGTCCAGCTTAACTAACCCCTACTCAAATATGACCAACTCTGTACTGATAATTACTAATTGCCCAGGAAGTTCCTCTTAATGCATAACATCTATGAGGTCTAGATATTTCTTCTATTGTAATTGGCCTGATGAACTTTGATAGAAAAAGATGTTCCACTTACTGACACTGAACTTCTTGCCTTTTTACACTAATTGTGCTAGAATGGTATGTTAAACAAGGAAAACATAGAATGCCTATCAGTTCTTCATGCCTTAAAAATGCATCTGGAACTACTTGAATGAACTAAAAGTAAAATAAGTGCTGTGCCATACTTTTTCTTTTTACTTAAAAAAAAAAAAAGAGGAAATGGAAAACATACCACTTCTAGAAGGCCCTGACATTACATTGGATATTGAAATGGTATCAGTAATTATTTATATATGCCACATTTTCTTCCATGCATCGGCCATCCTTGATACATAAGTGTTGGATATTTACCATGTGAGTTGCAATGTTACTACGTAGGGAAGATTATCTTGTTTAGAAGTGGCCTGAATCATTTAAGGTAGACATAAAGTCAGCCCTTTTGATTAAACCTGCCTTCTCTACCTGATCTGATAGAGATTTTTTTTTTTTTGTGGGGCGGAGTTGTTTGTATTTGTCATTTTGTGCCTCTCACTGGTAAATAACAGCATTCCCCTACAGCAACCAAGAATAGAAATTATGTACAAGAAAAGTATCATTTTCATAAACTTAAAAAATTACATAAGTATTATAACTTAATATTGGTTTTACCATATCTTCTAATTTGAAACGGAGTAAAATACTTCTGTGGTTAAATCATAGCTCTTTTGCAGTTTGCTGTAAAAGTTTCAAGAATATATATTTCAAAAAATTTTTTTTTTTTAAATAATTCAAAACAAATGCAATAGGGCTCAGCATACTTGAAACACATTTTCTGAATTTATCTTAAATCTCTCTGCTCCAGAGGGTTTTTGTGTGTATATGGATTAGGCCTGGCCTGTTATTTCACCATCTATCTCCATCCTGGATTGATTGCACTGAACAGACCAGAATGAGTTACATATGGTCCCACTTTGTCTTAAGTTTGTAGGACCTCTGAGTTGAAACACCCATTTGATCAGAGTGAAGCTAACCATCGCAGAAATTTGGCTAATGTCAAAATCCTAAAGATATACATACATACATATATTCCAATTAGAATGTATGTATTCCTGTTAGAAGTACTAGTATTTTGCTGTGCATTGGATCAATAGTTATTATTCCTAAAATATTGATGACATTTAAAGAATTTAAAAAAATACTTTGTCCACCTTTTTGTTATTATTAGTTTTAAAATTCTTCTGGATAGGAATCATGCTACAAATCTGGATCAAGATAAGCATTCAAATCCTTTTCAAATCAAAGTTATGAATATATCAAAATTTTTTCTAAAGTTGGGGTAGAAGAAGATCTAAATCTAAAGATCATTTAAACAAATTTGAATAGGAAATACTTGTCAACTTTATAGTTCATTTCCTTTTTTTCTAAGTGTGAACTATTTACAAAATAATGAAGAAAAATGGGCTTAAAACGTGTTTTAAAGTTGGGGTATGCTCATTAACTATGTAGAGGTAAACAAGTTAGGGGGGCTGTGCCCAATTATTTGTCAGGTTTGGCTTTTAGCTGCTGGTGTAAACAAAGCTGTTAAGGGTAACTTTCTCCCTCTTCAGTCTCTTTTCTCCCTGTTTCGTTCTTTTCCCGTCTATTGCTTTATTTATTTTTTTCTCTGTTCCTCCATCCCCTTCCCCCTCCTGCTCTTCCTTTCTCTGTGCAACCACGTGCTTCAAATCTGTGGATCTGGACTGCCTTCTCCAACAGTTCAGTGTGAGTGTTAGCAGAATGAAAACCAGATGGACCAGCAGTTCCCACTGTTATCTCCCAGCAGACTTTGGCAAGCCTCCCTTCATCCCTCCTTCCTTGGCATGACAGAAATATTTGCCTTTATTTAGGGAGACTTGTATTTGCTGCTGTACCTCTTCCCTCAGCTGCAACATAAGCGGAAAGCTATTTATTGCCTTGTTGCTGAGGTTGGTTGAGGTGAGTAGAATGTGTGATGAATTTAACTATTGAAGAGGCGGTTTTAAGCCTGTCTAGCTTGTGTGATTATCTAGATAGGGGACTTACTGGTATTGGTTGTTAAAGGTCTGACATAGCAATATGAAGACAAGTTTTTAAACAATAAGATAAAGATAGAAATGCTCCTTACATGTGTCTTTGCCATCGTTTCACTCAGAACGCTGTTATTCACGTATAGGGACGTTGTTATTCACTAACATCAAAGATAAAGAGAGACACCAATACTGTTAACTAGATTATCATGGGAACTCTTCTTATAGAATGATTATTTTAATTATTTTTACATCTTCCCTTGATTATAGTATCAGCATTATTTCAACTTTAAAATGTATTTTATTGCAACCCAAGTCCTATGATATTGAGTTGAACAAAGGTGAGGTAGATATGCAATTGCGATAGTAGTGATTTGGACTTTTCATTTCCTTTTAATAATAGACTTGGAAGTAATTCTGAGAATTTGTCACTATGGTTATTGTAATATTTTAAAATGCCAATTCTTTATTAATAAACAATCTGTGGTATTTTAATTTTCAAGTAGTCCAAGCATGAAATATCCATGCCTAAGGCGACGAGAAGCTGTTCAAAACATTTTAGGGGAGCGCGAGCATTTGCACGCGTGCGCTTGAAAAAAATTGGATCTAGAAGAACCAACCAAAAAAGCTTCTCATTTTTACTGGAGATCTGTTGCCTTGATAAGTAGATTAGATTGAGGGAAGAAAAGTTCAAAACTTCAGGGGGAAAATGTATTTAGTAGAAAACAGTGCTAAAATACAAATGTTAATTATTAAGTAATCAGTAGATTTCCCCACATCTGCCTTGTACTTCATGAAAAATAGGAGGAGGGTCTTTAGTTGTTTTAGTTCTCAATTCTTACTCTGCCTGAGATTATTAATTGAAGTATTGGTCTCGTGTTTTTAAAACGATGACTCTTAAAATAATGCATTCTAATAATAGCATAACTGCATTGTGTGACATACGGCATTTATGTATCTAGGTGATTTTTAAAAGAGGATGAAGAAATTGAAGTGAGAGATGTGTCTGGGAGACTTAACCTGCTTCATCTAAATAGGCCTGACAACAAAGCATGGAAGAGGGGCAGCAGGTGTTAGGAAAAATAGTCACAGAGAGCTGGCTCCTACCAGTATCTCACCTGCATAACACAGCTTCAGGTTTTTGTTATTTCTGAGCTGTCATGAGGGGGGTTCAGTACCATCCTACTTCCTCATCTATTTTGTACTTCTTGCTAATGTTGGCTTCAACTTCGAGTGAAGTTACGCTGTTGCATGTAACACTACCAAGGTAGCATCTGCCCAAGCCAGAAATAACAATAGAGTATAATACAACCCACTTACAAATGAGGTCCTGCCATCTGTGCTACACCTTCTTAAGTGGGGTTTAGATGATAAAATCCTGATTTAAACTTCAGTAGATAAGCATATTTTATTGATAGAAGATACTGAATTTCTTCTGTTTGCTTGGTTTTGAAAAAGATAAATCCCACTTAAAAAACTGAGGTGCTTAAGGAATGAAATAACATGTTTGTGGTGACATCCCGCAGATCGTACTGAGAAGCACTCCACAATGCCAGACTCACCAGTGGATGTGAAGACACAATCTAGGCTGACTCCTCCAACGATGCCACCGCCCCCAACAACTCAAGGAGCTCCAAGAACCAGTTCATTTACACCCACAACGTGTGAGTAGTCATTTCTGGGTTTCCTGTTTGGGTTTCAAAATTTCTGCAAGTAAGAATTAAAGAAGTATAAGAGTCAACATCAATGTATTTATGCAGAAATGAAGAAAAAAAAACATTAATTTATTTGCCAGTGAGTAGATATGCTCCTAAGTATCGTACCTTAGGTATAATTTGTATGAATGCCAGAGTTTGTCCTTCTTTTCCCCATTGCTTCAGAATTGTAGTCTGCAATGGTTTTAGCAAATGAAGAGTTCTGCAATTGGTCTGTAACATCAATTGTTACTACTATTATTTTTTTTTTCCCTTAATAACATTTTCTTAATTGTGATGTGTATCTGGGTAACAAAACATTTGCCATTTCAGCAGTCTTCACATGTACAGTTCAGTGACATTAAATATGTTCATCATGTTGTTCAACCATCACCATTAACCATTCTATAACTTTTAATCTGACCTATGTAATGTAGCACTTTTTATTTTAGTTTGTTCAGTTTGACTTGGAGCATGGAAATATGGTATACTTATTTCCAGGTTACTTCTGATCTCCTAACAGCACTTTCTTCTGTATTTCAAACAGTTACAAATAATCTTAAAATCTAACAGCCTTAAGTTAAAAAAGATTACATTAAAAAAAAAAATACAGAAAACTTTCTGAAATAAATAACGTCTTGTTTTCCTGAACTGTCAACACTGCCAAGCTCTGTGTTCTCACTCAGTGAAGTATATTGCTTTCTGGATCCTCTAAGGAAATGAGAGAACATTCTGACAGAATAGGAACTTCCCTTTCCAGTAGGGATAGTAGATAAATTTGTTTTAATCCATCTCAAAATTGTGGTTAAAATTGTCATCAAGGATTTGTGAAACTAATAAATGTTATCTGTTGCAGATAATACTATTTACAGACTACGTGCCATGAAATCCTTATGGGTGAAAAGTAACTAACAAGCAAAAGTAGATCCATGGGACTATAAGGGATTGACAAAATACACACCCCAGGCTGTTTACGCTATGTCTCACTGCCATTTAGAAGACCTTTTCAAATGTGTAAGGAGTAGGTGACTATGATAGTGCCAAGTTGTAACCCTGTTAGCTTGAATTTAGTTTGTTATCCCCTAAAGCCACAGTGATAGGCATGTATCGTTTGTGAGAGGTCCTGGTTAGCTATCATTTCTTGGCAGGTTGCTTTCTTTGGTATTCCATTTTGGACAAGAGAACTATTTTATTATCTTGAAATGAAACTTTTAAGAATAATAGAGTACTTAAAGCATCTCAAACTATTGTTAGAAACAGTTTTATCAAACTTACTATAAAATGATGTGTTTGATAAATTGATTTATCAAATTAATTGATTTTGACATGGTAAAATTAACTTTTTTTTTTTTTTAGTGAGAATTGTGCAACTTTTTCTAGCCTAGTTCTTGTAGATTATCATCTTAGAGTTCAAATGTATTTTATCAGAAATAAATTTACTGAATCCATGCTGTTGGTTGGATTGGGATGTCCTTATTCAATTTATTGAAATAACTCCTTGATAAATACTGTATCCATTTTGGCTTCTTACATACAATTAGCATTTTCCCTAAAGAAGTGGTTAGGAAATATGTGGGGGAGAAAATAGCCTTCTAATTGGGTGGTAGAAGGTTAAAACTTGAAAGTCCTATTTCTATAAACACAGCTGTCAGTTGTGTGTACAAAACATTATTAAAAATGTTTAGTGATAAATTTAGTCTCCACCAAATGTACACTTTCTCTAGGGGAGCAGTTTAGAAAGGAATAGTCCTGTTATATTGATATAAGCCTGTGACAAAAGGCTGACGTCCAAACGCTGTTTGTTCTATGTTTGAAACATTTCAGGTGGTTGGCATATGTGCACATGGGAGGCAGGGCTGTCCCTGTGTTACAGCCGACTCCATTTATTATCAGCTTCTGTGCAGAACACCATCATGCAGTGTGAGGAGTGGACCCATTTAATTATAGAGAACCTGATCCTGTGGTCAGCCTGTGAAATCAAAGCATTTTATAGGAAGTCCCAACATTCTAAAAATTTAAACATTTAAATTTTAAAAACATCCACTAGATTTAAATGGAAGGAAACGTGATTATAATGTCCTTTTGCATGTTCTCTTTTAAGTTTATTTCTTCTTTCTGATTTTGTGCCTTTGACAGTAACTAATGGCACGAGCCATTCACCTACAGCCTTGAATGGCGCCCCCTCGCCGCCCAATGGCTTTAGCAACGGGCCTTCCTCTTCTTCCTCCTCTTCTCTGGCTAATCAACAGCTGCCCCCAGCCTGTGGCGCCAGGCAACTCAGTAAGCTGAAACGGTTCCTTACTACCCTGCAGCAGTTTGGCAATGACATTTCACCAGAGATAGGAGAGAGAGTCCGCACCCTTGTACTAGGACTGGTGGTAAGCAAATAAAATTGACCTAATTTTCTGGAGCAAGGGGGAGTGTGTGTGGGAGAGTTGGGGAAGATTCAGAAATAACAGGTCCTGTTCCCATAGCTGAACCAGGTGATTTCTGGAGCAAGGGGGAGTGTGTGTGGGAGAGTTGGGGAAGATTCAGAAATAACAGGTCCTGTTCTCATAGCTGAACCAGGTGACAGGGATTCCACCATACTACCTCCTTTGTTTCTATATCCGGAGATTGCTTGCAAGTCTGATTAATTCTATAGCAAACGTGTTTTCAATTTTGGATTATGTATACTGACCACCACCATGGTTTCATTTACTGTTTGACTAATAAAGATATGGTTATACAGATTTATTATTATCTTAGCCATAAATATATATGCACTAAATTCAGTAATTATACTCTCCTGGCATGATTAGTTGGAGCCCTGGTAGTGCAGTGGTTAAGAGCTCAGCTGCTGACCAAAAGATTGACAGTTCGAATCCACCAGCCACTCATTGGAAACCCTATGGGGCAGTTCTACTCTGTCCTATAGGGTAGCTATGATCAAAATCTACTCTATGGCAATGGGTTTGGTTTTTGGTTTGGCATCGCTAGTGGCTATTAGCAATGACAAAATGGTAGATTTTGTTGTTAACGATTCCCTTAATCTAACTGGTGTTGATTTTAACTTAGTTGCTTTGGGGGAGTTTTACTTCTGACCTAGATGAACAAGAATTTATAACAAGTAATAAATTTTTTTGTATTTTTTTTTTTTATTGTACTTTAGATGAAGATCTACAGAACAAATAGATTCTCATTAAACAGTTAGTACACATATTGTTTTATGACAATGGTTAACAACCCCACAACATGTCAACACTCTCCCTTCTCGACCTTGGGTTCCCTATCTCCAGCTTTCCTATCCCCTCCTGCCTTCTAGTCCTTGTTCCTGGGCTGTTGTGCCCCAATAGTCTTGTTTTGTTTTGGGGAGCTGTCTAATCTTCGGCCGAACGGTGAACCTCAGGAGTGACTTCATTACCGAGCTAAAAGGGTGTCCGGGGGCCATACTCTCGGGGTTTCTCCAGTCTCTGTCAGGCCAATAAGTCTGGTCTTTTTTTGTGAATTAGAATTTTGTTCTACATTTTTCTCCAGCTCTGTTTGGGGCCTTCTGTTGTGATCCCGGTCGGAACAGTTAGTGGTAGCTGGGCACCATCTAGTTGTACTGGACTCAGTCTGGTGGAGGCCGTGGTAGTTGTGGTCCATTAGTCCTTTGGCAAGTAATAAATTTTTCACTTAATTATTTTTATTTTTAAGTCTAATAACTTTTTTTTTTAAATACCTATTTTTGTTTTTGGTAGAATTAAGTCATTAGAGAACAGACACGTTAATTTCCTACATTATACTCTATTCTGTACATTATCACATTAGAAATTAGAGCATGGCATTTTTTGTTGAGCCCTAAATCACTTTTGCATTTATTGTGATTTTCTATGTATGTGGAAAATTTTATATTATTTTGTATTCTAGTATTTCCTCATACTGAGTCATGGAGAAGCTGAGTCATATATTCAGTCCTTCTATCATCAAGGCTTATGGTGGAGCTAAAATTCAGATGATACATAGCAGTTTCCTTCTTCTTGAAATAGATCATGTGTTTTTGATACATGGCCCTATCATGGGCAAAGCCATACCAGTTGTGTTTTGCAAAAGAAGAACCAAAATTAAAGAGCTGGTTTAGAGACTGGCACAGTAGACATAGGAGCCCAGGTGGCACAGTGGTTAAAGCGCTCATCTACTAACTGAAAGATTGGTGGTTTGAACCTATCAGCCACTCCCATGGAAGAAAGATGTGGCAGTCTGCTTCTGTAAAGATTGCAGCCTTGGAAACCCTATGGTGCAGTTCTAATCTATCCTATCTAATCTATCCTATAGGATCACTATGGGTCTGAATGGACTTGATAGCAATGGTTTTTTTTTTTTTTTTTTTTTTTTTTTGGTGCAATACACATGCTTCAAATCACAACATCTCAAATTTGAGAGATTTTACAATTTAATTTTTAACTATTAACTCCCTCTCCTTCCCACTCCAAGAACAAAAACTTTCACATCTCCTACAAGCCATCAGCTTCATCTTGTATACCTCTAGGTGTGCATGAAGGTGATTTTGGACTGAAGTGTGTCAGCCTACTTCTGATACATTTATCAGTCACTTATCTTTTTCCTTCTTATTTACTCTTGAGTTTTAGGAATATGTTTTTCAGCATGTAAATAAGTTAGATCAAAGAACCACAAAGTAAATCCAAAGTAATAATTTTATCTCATGAATGGTTAATATGTCATTAGTAAAAATAATGGTTTTGTGAAAACTACTTTATGGATTTTTGATGTGTTCTCAGTGATTTACATAAATTAAAACGTAGGAAGACTTGGCAGCTTTAAGTAGATTTTTTCCACATACTAAGTAGCAAATCTTTGACTGAAATAATTTTTGTTAGGATACTTATTTGTTGATCTAAAAACCTTACAGAGAAAAGTCAAGGGAAGGGGTTAATTGTGGTTTGCATATAATAGACAGGCAATGAATATTTGTCCAGTAAATAGAATGAATAGAGAATGGACATTTGTTTTGAGAACTTGGCTGCAAGCTTTTATGCATGTCATTTTATTTAGTTCTTGGAGCCACCCTTTGAGGTAGTGATTTTTGCACACATTTTACACATGGGGAAACTGAGAGTCACAGAGGTTCAGTAAATTATACAAGGCTACAAAACTGGTAGTGACTGTGATCTGAATCCAGATGGTAAATCCTAACCGATCATTTTATGCTGTTATTTACAATGAGTTAAGGAAACTGTATGAAAATCTGTCCTTTAGAAAATGAACCATTAAAACAAAATGACAAAAAAAAAAAAAGGCTCGCTAACCTTTATTGTTACAGATAGGAAATTGGTATTCATTCATAGTTTCAGGTGAAGATAATTTGAGTTTTGGGTATGAAAAACTTAAAACTCAGTGCTTCGATATTTTATCATAAAAGAATTTGCAAAAAAGGTGGGTGCAGCAGTACTCTACCGATGTTAGCTCACAAATATCCCAATTTTGTCAGGCATCAGGATTTCTGCTAACCATGATATAAATGCTTAAATACATTTAAGTAATAGAAGTTAAGACTAAAATTATAGTTGTGAGTCTACCTAGGAATTAAGGAAAATAAATCAAAATAAGGTGAAGTTATTCAACATCTTTATAACAGTTGGTTGGCTGTCTATTAAGTAAATGTATCAATACACATTGCCCATTGTAGGGTACAAACCCTAGGCTTATTTGTGGGCTTATTTGTTTTGTGAAGTGGAGTTACGAGTGAATTTGAATCAGTTTGTGGAGTCTCTTGGGTTTAGTAGTACACGTTGCCTCTAGGATAAATGGAATATCTTTGATAATTGGGGAATTTTTTTCACCCTTTACAAGACTCAGTTACTCTGGTTTCATTAGCACAACACGCTAACCAACTTAGCTATTCACCCTGAGCAAAGATGCTTTGGTAGAAAACGAGAGCATACAATATGGAAAGATGGGAGGAGGAGGAGAATATTTCTACCAGGAGACACTGATATGACATGTGGGATGAATTGAGGGATTCTGACACTTGCTGCTGGCCCTTTTAAGTCATCTATTTTGCCTTTAAAAACATTCCAGTATGTTTGTTTTCCATAAAGTTCATATTAGAAGGTTCTTCATAATTGCAGAAACTTCCTCAGCAAACTATGCTAATGTCTATGCATGTTATTCTCAAAGTACCATATTTAATGTGTTTCATTTCAGTTTTTCGAGGTGGGTGATACGATAGACTTATATGATCTTTTCTACAAAGTCAAAAGATTTTAGATTGATAATATAGCTTCCTATGTTGTGTGTCTGCTTGTTATTATACTGTGTTGTATATTAGTAATTTATTGGTTTCGGTGTTTTTACTTATTTAACAAGAGACAAATATATTTATAGTACATATTTTCTTCCACAGAACTCTACTTTGACAATTGAAGAATTTCATTCCAAACTGCAAGAAGCTACTAACTTCCCACTGCGACCTTTTGTCATCCCATTTTTGAAGGTATTGCCCAGTTCACTGATCTGGAAAGTTTTTCAAACCATATTATTGCTAGGTCACAACAGTGTTTCTTTTTGGGGGGTCAGAACATTTAAGGGCGATTTGACTTAATAGATGAAGACTATCTGAATATAGATATGTTTTTATGCTCATTACCTAAGTAGTCCTAAAATTATAATAGTGTTTTCAATAGTTATCTTAAGTGAACATAGTTAAGTTTACAGAAGAGTTTAGAAATCTCTTTGAATAAAGGTGATGTTTGATTGTTATTTAGTCATTTGAGATATGAGTTATAGTCTACATTTTGCAGGTGTTTAGAATGAACAGAAGATTGGTTGTGCTTTTTAGTTTTTAAGGGTTTTTTTATACTTCTGATTTAATCTTTGCAACAACCTAATGAAGTAGAAAGAACAGACCCTCATCCATTTTTCTGCCAATGAAGAAATTGGGAGCAAGTGACAAAGCCAAGGTACATGCCTAGCTGAGTACTAATTGAAGTCTGTGAGGTTAGGAATGGTTTTTAATACCCAGCTTTAAGCTTCCTCCCTCCTCCAACTTCTGCCTCTTCAATAAAAACAAACAAAATATCTAATAGTTAACAAGAGAAAGGACGATTTTATTCAATATGTTGTTGTTGTTGTCGCCGAGTCAGCTCTGACCCATGACGACCTTATGTACAATAAAATGAAACATTGCCTGATCTGTGTCATCTTCATGATCATTGGTATATTTGAGTCCAGTGTTGTGGCTGTTCTGTCAGTCCATCTCACTGAGGATTTTCCTCTGCTTTACCAACCAACCAAACCAAAATCATTGCTGTCGAGTCGATTCTGACTCATAGTGACCCTATAGGACAGAGT